CTGGTAGTGGCTGCATTCAGTCATAGCCACCATTGCCCTGGAGGGGCCTCTCCCGTGCTCCGTCACCTCCATGCACCCCACTTCTGGTACCACATTTCTCAATCCCACCCATCAGACCAGAGTGGGACAGTGCCCACACATTGAAGCTTTTTCCTGCACGCTTCCCAGCTGTCTGTTCCCCCACTTCTGCCTACTCCTTATCACATAGATTCTTTCTTTTGTGCTTTTGTCCCTTGGGAAACTAACTGATAAACTTGCTCATCAAACTCTCACAGCAGATTAACACACAGGCAGGAGAAACAGCATATTAGCTTATGTTACATTTATCTCTGTGTTTCAATTCCTCTCCCACATGCAAACTGGAAGTTGGGCCTCCCTGCAGGAGGATGTCAGCAATAATACAGTGGTTTCCACTAACCCAGAGGGTCTCACTGGCATTTCTGAGAATCACATACCTGGGCAGGAGGGGCACTGGCAACAGGGGGGCACAGGCTAAGGATGCTGCTAAACATCCACTACTGCACAGGGCATTGACACCACATCACACACACCCCAACAGAGTCAGTCACCCAGTGTCAACAGCATCGAGGTTGGGTGATGCATTGTACGGAATGGATTAGGGAAATAACATCTCTCCTCTTTCCTTCCACATGGTTCTCAGAAGCACCAGAATCATTACCCAAAAGCAATGCCAGCGGCAGAAGAGGGAGAAGGATTAGGGAGAAGATGATCTGCTCAGGCAGGACCAGGGCTAGCCTGAGAGGTTCAAAGGCAAAGGTAAAGTGTCCCTCACCCTCTCCATGAACTTTCCTCCCATGGAGGAAATGGATATTTTGGGACCCATCAAATTTAATATGGGACACATTCTGGAAATGGACTCATCAAAATATTAACAATAATTATAACTCTGAGTGATAGCATTTTCAGAAATTTAGTTTCTTTCCACATACTTTGAAATTTCCCATAAACGTTAATGTAATAACACATAATTCTAAATTTAGAAAGTATGTTGCATTCACTGATGCTATGCCTCAAAGCCCCAATTTCTTTACTGAATAGACTCTCATAGGACCCTATATCAAAGTGTCCCAATAATAAGTCCGTAGCACTTCTACACAGCAAATAAAACAGGCAACAGAATGAACAGAAGGCCTACAAAATTGGAAGAAATTGTAGCCAGTTATTCCTCAGACAGAGGATGAATATCTAGAATGTATAAGGAACTAAAAAAAATAGATGCCTTCAATAAAACAGATACCTCACAGCAGAACTAAAAATGGCCAGGACTGTAAATACATGAAAAAATACTCAACATCACTATCCATTAAAGAAATGCACATTAAAACAACACTGAGGTTTCATCCGACTCTGGAAAGAATGGCTATCATCAAGACATTGAATAATAACAAACACTGAAGTGTCTATCGGGTTAGAGACAGCGGAGGAACCCTTGTTCCTTGTTGGTGGGGATGTAAATTAGTACAACCATTATGGAAATCAGTACAGAGAATCCTCAAACCTAAAAGCAGAAATTCCATTTGACCCAGCTATTCTCCTTTTAGGCATCTTGCAGAAAGGGCTAACGACATCCTATTACAGAGATACATGAATATCCATGCTAGCGGCAGCACAGTTCATAATAGCTAAATTTTGGAAGTCGCCTATATGCCCATCAACAGATGAGTAAGCAAAGGAAACGGATTTTTTATGCACAATGGAGTACTACGCTACTATAAAAAAGGTGAACCAGTCATTTGTAGGAAAATTGATGCACCTTGAAACCATAACGTTAAGTGAAATAAGTGAGACATACAAATTTAAATATTGCATGATTTTTCTTATATGAGAAACCCAAAATACAAAGAACAAAATAAAAGGCGGATAATAGGAATTAGGTGTTACAGGCTGCAGAGTTAGTTAGAAATATTAGAGGCAGTGAGACAGGGCTGAGCCCTCAAAGGAACCAGAGCTGACGTCCAGATACCTTGCAGCCTTGGAAGAGACAATCACCTCCTGCTGTGGGTCAGATGTCAAGACAAAAGTCAAATCAAATACAACCATATCCTAGGGATTTTAAATTCAAATAGTTTTCCATCACCCTGAGGAAGTCAAGAGTCAACATACCAAACCCCCCCCCCAACCACAGAAGAGCACTACTGTTAAGCATGCCAGCTTCCTAAGAGACTCACTTCCCCATTTGCTCCTAATTTAATGTTTTACCTGAGCAATTCATATTATTGGTTGACCATAGTTCTGTCCCGCCTTATGCCCACCTTGCGAGTTCCCATTTTTCCCTACCTTTGACTCATCTAACTTCATGATTTTATTCTATAAAAATGCCCAGAAAAGACAGAGTCCCTGGCAACCCACTCAGGACCCCTTCTGTCTCTCAGACACAAGCTTTCTTTCTCTCAATAAATCTATTCTACTCTTAACCTCCGCTGTTCCTAAAATTCATTCTTCGATTTTAGAGAACAGGCACTTATACTGGACTTATAATAGGTTGGAAGTTTCATTCCCCTATATCATAGAGAGATAGAACTTTTTTCAATGAGAAGGAGATCAAGAAACGTAGGGGGAGAGGGATGAAAAAAAGAACTGAGATTTTTATGTCCACAGAAAATTGTCCTTATAACAGAGTGCAAAGAAAAATCTCTGCTTCAGGTCCATTAATAATTTGGGGGATGAATGAAGTAATTTGGTATGTTTTATTTCAAAATTATAAGAACCACGTTAATTACCAAGTTTACTTTTCTAGAGATACAAGTTAACAACTACAAAAACAACTTAGACCTGCACTGGCCTGTAAGGTAGACACATGTCACTAGAGACATGTGACTATTTAAATATGAATTACTTAAATATAGCACATTTCCACCACCCTAGACAGTTCTACAAGTTCCAGGGGATGGCACCAGCACACTACTGTTTGCTCCCCCAGATTCATTCCCTGGGCCCACATTTTCTCTGCTTTCTCTTGTTTCTATCCCATGCGACTTTGTTGTAAACTAACCTTAATTCTTTTATGGAAAAAGCTGTTATAACAGTACTTTTGACACAGCTCTGCGAATCTGTATCTGGAAATCTGTTGCTGAGAGCTCAGGCTTTGTTTTTGACTGTAAGACAGTCAGTAACTGGAAGACTCAAAGAACAATTTCTGGAATGTAGTTCCTGTGTCACAAAGCAATCTTCAAGGGTGGGGAGAAGGGGTGGTTGTTTTCTTTATTTTGTGTTTTATGAATAAACAGGTGAGAACTGAAAAAACCAAGCTGATTGTGGGGGGCAGTCTCTTTTACTTTTTGTTTTGAGACAGAGTCTTATTAAGTCATAAAGTCACCCATGCTGGGCTCAAACTTTTGGTCCTGCTGGCTCCTTGTCCTAGAATACTAGGATTACAGGCATGTACCACAGTGCCCAGCTCCAAACTGTTATTTAATTAAAACTTAATTTGAGGCTAGGAATAGTGGCACACATACGGAACCTTAGCTACATGAGACTGAAACAGGAGGCTTACAAGCTTGAAGCCAGGCTGAGCAATTTAACCATACCCTTGCCTCAAAATAAAAACATAAGAAGGGCTGGGCATGTAGCTTAGTGATAGAGTGCCCCTAATTCCACAACAAATACTGTCAAAACTGCTTTTGATAGAAAATTAAGACATTTATCTGCAAAAAAAAAAAAGGAAATTTCTTTTTCAAACTCCAAATAAAAGGCTAACCATCAGCTTGGGTCTAAAGTCTTCAATATACCATTACAGCAAAACAAACAACCCAACTTGTTACTACTGACACATATGATTGCATAGCTGGAATCCTGGATGTGTCAAGGAGAATCAAGGATGAAAATGCTGCCCCAGGCCTATATGGAACCCCCTGCCAGCCCCCAGTTCCAGAGCAGCGCTGCTTGAACATGTTATCAGATTTTACACTGATTTTATAAAAACATATGGGTCAAAAGCTAGATACAAAGATAGAAATTAATAAGCCCAAAGTGTGTATGTGTGTATAATATATATTATATATATACAGTAGGAAAATGCAACTCTTCCTGTGTGTGTATATATATATAATATATAATATAATATATACTATATAGTAGGAAAATATTTACAACTATTCCTGAACAATTCTAGTAGAGCTACAGAACCTTTCATGGTTCTCATCGCTCTGGCTACAGAACTTCCCTATAAAATGCTAACTTCAGTATGTGTTTTTTCTGGCAAGAGTAATTTTAGGAAAGGATCTACATATTTATTAAGTCCATTTTGGGGGACAAGAGTGCGCAATATATCAGTGTCCTGTGTTTCAATGATTTCAAAAACGTCTTGGAACTAATACTACAGAAATCACATTAATGATGGAGAAAAACCTTTGGGCTTCGCACTGTTGGGTAAATGATAATGAAAATGAAGTCTAACACTTTCTGAATCTTATCCTGCTGAAAACCCTGTTGATAACTGTTTCTGCTAAGTCCTTTAGACCACACAACCATCCTTCCAACAGGAGGATGACGGTCCCCACTTCTGTAAAAGAGGAAACTGAGGCCACAAAACGTTAACTAACGCGCCAAAGATTGCATAGCATGGTGATGGAAATGTGTATCTTACAAAGTTAGGTTTAACCCACATCAGGACCCCAAGTCGTGCATAAGCACAATGCCTTACGTTTTTAAGTACAATATAAACTCATTTTTGCTGTATTTCTGAATACAGTGCACGTTACAGAACGCGAGTCGCTGTGACCCTCACAACATCCACGGGCCCGGGGAGGCTCGGCCTTGGGAAGGCAGGGCCCTGGGCATCCGAGCTCCGCAGAGTGTGGGCTCCCGGGGGCCCAGCGTCTCCAATAAAACCGAAATCAGAATGAAATACAGATCTTAGTTTTAAAGATGTCTCACGTCTCCCGCGGGCCCGCGGGCCCGGCGTGGGTCGCTCCAGCTCCAGCCCGCGCGCCCCGGCCTCGGCGCGCCCCCGGCAGTCCCGTCCCCTTTGGGCTCCTCACCTAAGCCTCGGGCTCCGGCTCTCGCTCCTCTGCAGCCTCTCGGAGCTGCTGCCTCCAAAGGCCCCAGGTCTGCGGCCTGGGCGGCTGCCGGCTGCGATTGGCTGCGGGGCGGAGCCGGGACTCCGGAGAGGCGGGACTGGGAGGATCCCAAGGCCCAGGGGCAGACCGGCCCTTCTCGGATGCTCTGCCACAGGGCGGGGTGCACCGCAACGGTCTTGTTCTACCCCGCCACCTTTTGGGGGTGGTGCGCAGCACCTGATTGGCCAGGCGTCGAAATGTAAAAATAAGTCCTTCGTGTCAATGTGAGGAGCACAAATTCAGGGACCCAGGTATCAACGATTCAATCCCTGCAAGGAAATGAGTGCTTCCCTAGAGAGCAGCTCGGCCTTCCAACCCCTGGGGATGGCCTGAGAGTGGGGAGTCTGAGAGGGAGGAACAGGGATCCCCTGGGCAGAGTTTGGGTCCAGCCTTCTGCGGCAATCAAGAGGCTGGGGATCCCTGGACTGAAGGAATGACATCTCCAATCCCAAAGGAAGGGGTCTGAGTACTAAACTTGACTGCCATTTCCCCCACCAAAGAGTTCTGTGTCCTGTGACCGGACAGGCCTGACTAACCCAGTGAGAAAAAGCAGGAGAAAAGTAAGTTTTTTTTATCCCCAGGCTTGGCCTGGGGGCTCCCACCTCTGTACTGGATTCCTGCTGCTCTCCTCAGCCACCTACTTAGTACCCGTTCTTAGATATCTAATATACTCAATCTTAACATGCCCAAACCTGCCCCAACCTCACGTTTCCTAAATTTTCATCATCTCAGTGACAATCCTGCCCTTCCAGTTCCTTCCAGTTTTTCCGGTGGAAAACATCACTGTTATCTTTGACTCTTTGTCCAGGGGTCAGCAGACTCTATTGCAGAACACTTGACTATTTCTTATCCCTAGAACCAACAACTCCCATCTAGGTTATTAGAGGGGTCTCCTCCCTGTTCTGTCTGCATTCTGTCCCTTGCAGCAGCCACAGTGACTTTTAAAATTCAAAGTCAGATCAAATCCTTTCTCTACCCAAAACCTTCCCAGTGATTTCCATTTAACTCAGTAAAAACCAAAGCCCCTCAAGGTCTGCTCCTCCATTACCCTTGGAATCTCATTTCTGCTTTGCCCTTGGCTTCCTTGTTCCAGTCCCTCTGACCTCCTTGCTATTCTGCTGATGAGGCAGGCACACTTCTGCCGAAGTGTTTCTGCACTGACCCTTCCCTCTGTGGAATGTGTAACTAATTCCCACTCCTCCTGAATTTTTCCTCAAAAGCCATGTTGCACTGACAGCTACCCTGAGGACTCACATCACAATTGATTTCTGTCCTGCTCCTGACTTCCTTGGAGGCATTCTTCCCACAGCACTTGTCACTCCTTAGCTTAGTATATTCTTTTTTTCCCCTACTTACCTGTTTATGAGCTGCATTATGGTTTATATCTGATGGTCCCCCAGAGCCTCATGCAGTCACAGGTGGGGCTTTCTCAGAAGTGGCTGAAACTAGAGTGTGGGATTAAGGGCGTGTGATTACTAAATCAGTCCACTGATCCATGTGGCATCATTCTAACCCTAGTAGCCTAGAGTACAAAAGGGGAAGAAAGAAGTTGCTAGGGTTCCTTGCTTGCTTTGCTACCTTCTGCCTACCATGAACTTTTTTTCCTCTGCAATTTCTGTCTGCCGTACCACCCTCTTTTGGAGCCAACCAGTTATAAACTGAAATCTCTAAGTACTACGAACTAAATAAAACTTCCTTCCTTTAACTTTGATTGGCAAATATTTTGTCTCAGCAATGAGAGAAAATTAACCAAGACAATCTGACTCTTCTATCCACCCACCTGTGCCCCTGCCTCTTGGACTATGAAATGCTCTTCATCAAAAAGATAACTGTCACGGGAGGGACACCACCATCTTTTTAGTGTTAACAACTAAATCACAAGCAGTTCTGGAATCTGAATACACAATCACTTTAAACCACAAGGGGAAGGGGTGGTTCCTGAAAATGAAATGCTGAATTCTGTTACCAGGAGACAGAATCCTGGCTAGGCAAAATAATAGATGGTAAAAGGGGCCAGACAGCTCTCTTAAACCTCTTTCATAAGGGTGTCACTCCCAGTAATGAATCTCATGATTTAGTAATTTCCCAAAGGCCTCATCTCTTATTATTATCACATTGATTATTAGTGTTATGGCTTATACCTAAAATTTTCCCCCAAAGTATCAGTTATTCAGAGATGCAGTTGTTGTAAGGTGATGGGTTCATACGGGTGCTATTCTCACGAGCACATGAACCCATTGATGAGTTCATAGCTAAATACACTCTTGGTGGGTCACTAAGGATGCTACTAGAAGGGAGTGTTCTTGTCCCCAGTTCTCCTCTCCCTCTCACTGCTTCCTGACCACTTTCTTCCTGACCAGATTTCCTCTACAATGCCATTCTGCCATGCTGTTTATGCTTTGGATCCAGCCTCTGTGAGACAAAGTAAATCTCTCCCCCTTAAAGTCATAGTGAGGTGTCAGGAATTTTATGCCAGTGATGGGAAAGTCACTAATACAATTAGGTTCCAAGATAAGGCTTTTGGGGGACACATCAACATTCAGACAATAGTATGTCATATACCCACCCCAGAATTGTAATAGGGACAGGTCACTTAGGTTCCATTTGTTATCTGTTGCCAGCCAGAAGCCTTTCAGAATCTCCTCACAGAAACAGCAAGTTACTTCTAAATTCATATTTCTGTGTTGCAGAAAGTTTTCAATTATGAAGTGTTTTCTTCTGCATTTTGTCCCATCAAAATGTTAAGACTTTTGACTTAAAGATTCACAGAGACTGACTTCTACTTCTGACTCTTTACCAGAAGTGCAGAATCACTGAGATGATTGGGGTAGTTAAAAATTGGAAAGCTTCAAAATTTGGAAGTTTTCTACTTAAACTTTTTAGTTTTATAGTTCCTCCGGCCCTTCCCAGTAAATTTCTGTAGCATTAACACCAATTGTGATAACTTCATTTTAGAGCAGATTAAAACACACTGGCCCCAGCTCCAGCTCTGACTCCTGAAGAGCAGTTTGAAGGTTTTCTAGAGCATCAGTAGAACTAGGCCCATGATGCCATCTAAATCTAGGATGTGCTGGGAAATACAGGGAATGGCGTCTTCAGTGAGCTTTAGTGTCCCTGTCACCTAATGCACCATGGCATCCATCTTTCTATTGATGTTCCTTGAACACGTACTGTGAACACTGGAGCAGGGCGCTGGGAAAACATGACAGAGAGACAGCTCTGGAAGGCAGTACCTTGAGGATGTTACAGATTTGGAAGCATCTCAGGCAGAAGCAGGAGACTCAGCATCTGCAGCAGCAACCGGCAGGCATGGTGTTGGTTTTCGCCCTTTCTGAGATGCATCCAAGGAAGGGTTGACTGAGGATTGTCCTGCATGTGTTAGATGGGAATGAGAAGACAAAACTAGGAAGTAAATGTGAATGTGACCTTATTTACAAACAGAGGTGAAAGAGATGTGATGAGGACATCAGACAAATATCTGTACATTCTGTAATAGACAGCATGATGCATAATAGCTAAATCTTGGTACCAGCCTACATGTCAATCAACAGATGGATATATAAAGAAAACACATGGTATTTCTACACAGTGGAATACTACTCTGCCATACATAAGAATAAATTTGAGTTATTTGTAGGAAATGTACATCGTGATCATACAATTAAGTGAAATAAATCAGACATATAAGCTTAAATATCTCATGGGTTTTCTATGTGAGAAATCCAAACTATAAGTGAAGAGCAAAATAAAAGATAAGCAATATGAAGCAGGGAGCTAGATCATTCTCAAAAAGGAAGAAGATTAAGAGATATTGGGAGGGGGAGGGAAAGGGGATGAAAGAGGAGTTAAGATGCATTATGTACATTCACCAATTCCACATAAGGAGGTGAACATTGTGTATTGCAAACATGCACAAATAAAAATTTTAAAAATGTTAATCTCACTACCACCCTCAACAACAAAAAAAAAGATGTGTTAACTCTTGACAAGAACACTATTCTAAGGGTAACATTTCCCTCAGGGACAGTTGGACTCAGTTATGCAAATAATGTCCCAGAACCTGGTTTCTGTATGTCTATCAACTACCCTCTGTTAGCTCAATCCTTGGAGAATATCACTGCCAAGATGAGGACAGCAAATATCTTCATATCCTCCTAAATTCAAGACCAGTGGCAAGGAGGATCTGCTTTATTCTCAGAGCCCCATAAAATGATTGGTTGTGTCCCCTTGATCCTAATTAAGGTACACACATAGCTATCTCTGGGTCAAACAGTATTCCAGAGGAAGGCAGTGTCTTGATGTGGAGGGGGTAGATTCAAGGCATCACAAGAAATAGGTGGGCTGGGTAGGCAGAGAGTTCTGCTGGGGAAACTGATACAGTATCAAGAACAAGGGACATGGATTTGGGGCAGGTAAAACCACTAAATGTTCACAGACTATCTCTAAGTGTAAGGCCTAGTAAGAACCCCGTATTAGCTGTCTGAAGCCTCTATCTCCACCAGGCCACTAGTCAGGCTCCCCTTTGAGCACTAGTAAAAATGCTGACTGCACGTGTGGTGTACACACCTGTAATTCCAGCACTTGGGAAGCTAATGTAAGGCGATTGTTGTAAGTTTGAGACCAGTCTAGGTAAAACAGTGAGTCCAAGCTCAGCCTGAACTACACAGCAAGACCTTGTCTCAAGAAACAAGAAAGAGAGAGAGAGAGAGAGAGAGAGAGAGAGAGAGAGATAGAGAGAAGCCGGGTGTGGTGGTACATGCCTGTCATCCCAGCACTCAGGAGTCTGAGACAAAAGGATCACTGCAGAAATTCAAGGTCAGCCTGGGCTACAAAGCGGAATTCAAGGCCAGTCTGAACTGCATAGTGAAACCTTGACCCCGACCCACAAAAAAAAAAAAAAAAAAAAAAGAAAAAGAAACAGAAAGAGAGAAAGAAAACAGGCTAATCTCAGGGACAGAGGTTACTGGTGTTCCTCTAAAGCTGCTCCTCTCTCTGCTCTCTGTGTGCTCCACCTTTCTACCAGATCAGGAGGTGGGAAATG